TCATCTTCTACTGACCCTTATCCTCTTCTTTCCCTCTTAAAAGGATCATTGTGATTACACTGAGCCTACCTGGAAAATCTTCTATATTCTGCTCATGTCATGATGCTTAGCACAATCACGTTTGCAACATCTCTTTTACAATGTACAGTAACATATTTATAGGTTCACTATCCCAAGAATTATGAACATGGACATCTCTGGTTTGTGATGAAGTCATTATTCAGTCTACCAACCTATTATTATAACCATTTATGCCACCAAATAACTGAGGTTACTTTTTTTCATATCTGCTCAAAGTCACACAGGTTTTGAGTGGCAAAGGCATGAGCTGAACTGCACAATCTGGCTGAAGAGTAGAGGCTGCTAACTACTTTTCTATTTACTCTCTTTCCACAATTATTTATTGCAGTAAAATAAACATAAATACAATCGACCATTTTAAACATTTGTAAAAATTTTAATTGACACATAATAATTGTACATATGGAATGGGCAGTGTATGTTTTTTTATTGATTATGCATATTCATGGGGTACAGAGCTGACTGTCACCACTTGTGCCCAAGATGTGATGTCCATATCAATACTATCAGCATGCCCATTACCAAAAATTGCTATTATTCCCCATGTCCCCCACCCAATTATCCCCCAACCTCCTTCCACCTACCCCCGTCCCCCACTCTGCAACCCTTGTTATATTCTCTCCCCATGCAAGTCCAATGCACTACTGTGGTTTTTCCTTCCTTCTAACTCTCTAAGCTCCCATGTATGGGTGAAGACATGAGGTATTTTTCCCTCTGTGCATGATTTATTACATTCAACATAATTTTGTTCAAGGTCATCCATGTTGCTGTCTATTGCAGAATTTCATTCTTTTTTACGGCAGAGTATGTATATATATATATATTCATACTCTGCCGTATGTGTATGTGTATATATATGTGTGTATATATATATATATATATGTATATGTATGTATGTATATATATATATGTATATGTATGTATGTATATATATATGTATGCATGTATGTATGTATGTATATGTATATGTATGTATGTATGTATGTATGTATGTGTATATATATATATACCACGTTTTCCTTACCCAGTTGTCTGCCAATGGATGTTTAGGTTGGCTCTATTTCTTGGCTATTATAAATAGAGCTGCAATGAACATGGGAGTGCAGGTATCCCTTTGACATGATGATTTTGATTCCTTTGTGTATATACCTAGAAGTGAGATTGCTGGATCATATGGTAGATATATCTGTAGTTGTTTAGGAAATATCCATACTGTTTTCTACAGTGGTTGTACTAATTTACAGTCCCACCAACAGTGTTCGAGTGATGCCTTCTCTCCATATCCTTGTCAGCATTTGTTATTCTCTGTCATTTTGATTATAGCCAGTCTAACTGGGATGAGGTAACACAATGTAGTTTTAACTTGCATTACGCTGATGATTAGTGATGTTGAGCATTGCTTAAGTGTCTGTGGGCCATTTGTATGTCTTCCTTAGAAAAATGGCTATTCGACTCCTATGCCCATTTGTAAATTGGGTTATTTGTGTTTTCCTGTATAACTGTTTCAATTCCTTGCTGAATCTGGATATTAATCCCTTGTGTGATGTATAGTTTGCAAATATTTTCTCCTACACTGCGGGTGTCATTTCACTCTGTTGATTGTTTCTTTTGCTGTGCAGAGATTTTTAGTTTGATATAATCACATTGTATTAGTCTGTTTTGTGTTGCTATAAGAGAATTACTTGAGACTGGGTAATTTATTAAGAGCAGAGGTTTATTTGGCTTATGATTCTGGGACAGCTTCATTTGGCACAGAACTCAGGCTGCTTCTACTCCTGGTGGAGAGTGGCAGGTACAAGTAGAAAACATGGCAAGAGGAAGCAAGAGAGAGAGAGAGAGGAGGTGCCAGGTTCTTTTTAAATGACCAGCTCTCACAGGAACTAACAGAGCGAAAACTCACTCATTACTCCGCTCT